GCAATATGGAATAAATAAACGGTTTTACAAATTGGTATCGGATATCCAACGATAACGTAGACTTTATTAGGAATTTTTTCATTCGTTGAAATGCGGACCTAGCATATTCTATATGAGCACATATTTCGACCTCGTGGTCAAGATCGTTTGTTATCCAGCAACCAAGATACTGGAATCTTTGTACTGGTTCTATATGTTTGTTGTAGATACGAATATTAATGTCTACAGTTGATGCACATGTAACAGCCATTACTTTTGTTTTATTTGTGTTTATATTTAGTCCTAAGCTAAACTTAGGCACTATAAGAACTATAGGAACTTGGACAATATAAATGATTGGAAACTCTGACAAACTAAATATGCTGTCACAAGAGCATTTTTATCTTCGGTTGATTCAGACCATAATTTATTTCACTCTCTTTTCAGCATTACTTCCAAAACGTCAGCCCAACCATCCGCAGCATTGTCGACTGCATGTTTTAAATTGTATGCTTTCCAGTATTCTTGCAAAAAATATTTCTTTTCCATAATGACGTTTTGAATAAATTTTTTTCTGTATCATCTTTTGAAAGTTTCAATTACTGATTGATCCATTGATTGCTCATTTTTAATGGACAACACAATGGACAATAGTTCTAAATTTGTATTTGTAACTTTTATTTCTTATTTATTTTATTGTAATCACTGTTTTATTTAAATCATGTATACTTTTGCTGTATATTGTACTCTTTTATAAAAATTTTGACTAGTCCGATAAGATTTATACATTTTTTTTGTAAGAATTGTGTAAACTTTGTGGATGAATAAATTCTATCTATCTATCCATTGGTTGTATCAATGATGTATTCCATCGTCACTTCGCAGCATACCGGGTTCAGGATGGTCAGATGCATTGTCTAAAATGAGAATCGCTTTTGATGACTGCAAGTATTGTCAAACGTCTGGTATAAAACCTTTTTAAAAAAACAGGGTGTTGGAAAAATGGATAAATTTTTTTTAACCAGTCAGCGAATATTTCTTGGGACATAAATGCATTATGTTGTGCATAGTAGTTAACAGAAAGCGCATTCATATTTATACCCTTTTTGGCTTATTTTCTGTACCAATCAATAATAAAGGGATGTGATGGTCATCACTTGCATTGCTTTTGCATTTTAAATCTGGGTGCATATTTTTCACACAGTGTAGCGAGTGTTTTCGTTGGCAATGCTTTGTAGTTTAAACCAGTTTCATCCGCATTGAACACTTGATGATGTGTCAAACCATATTCATCAATCATAGCTCAAAACTTTATTTTGTATTCGTCAATGACTTCAACACTTGCGGTGCTCAACTATTTACCTTCGATTTTGAACTTTTTCCAACCAGGCGCTGCTTCCTTTGAATGAAGGATCGCCATTCAATTTCATGTTGAAAAACAACGCTTTTTCAGCAAATATTGGTCTGGACAAAAGAATAGCTTCGCTTCTTTTTTTGAAGGAACCACAAATACAGAGCCGTGTCAAGTGATTCAATTGTAGGTTTTTCATTGTCTTACGATGTTTCACCCTGCCATCCAATGATTCCATTTGTGAAGCAAACTTTTAAATTTCTTCAGCTTTTTTTTGTAAATCATTGACAAAATAATACATTTTCTTTTTGGAGCTTTAGATGTGGAAGGCTCCATTCTTCAAAACTTAATTGATCAAATGACTACTTGACACAGTTAATGTTCAAATCAAACTAAATTATGGTGACACAATCACACATATTGACTGTAATTGTGCTGCATTTTTTTATTTTCGGCTAGCAATTCTAAAATGGAACTTCAAAAACACTGTTCTTATTTATAATTGTTTAAATTGTGATTGAATTGCGAGCTGCGAATAAAAACAAAATTTGTTTACATAAACAAATGTGGTAGCATAATTGTTCATTTCAGCGAATTTTGTTTGGCTTATCGCAATGCTCAAACAAAATAAATTGATAACTCAATTTTTGCTTATGTAGTCAACACAATTTATGTATGGACCCTGAGGGTTAACAGAGGTCACAGTTAATGGAGAGACAGATAGGCAAGGTTCTATTATACTAGTTCACAGATTTAACACAAGAGCAAAAGAAATTAAGATGATCATTTCTCCTCAGAAAACTAAAAATAGTAATCAGTAAAGAACCAATAAGAAAAACTGGAAATTAATGGAGTTAGTAATAAATAAGTAATGGAAATAAAGTACCTAGGGATTAGACTGTCTAGTAACGAAGATGGTGAAAAAGAAGTATGAGATCAAGTACAAAGAGCAAATGTGTGACCAATATATTAACTGTGGGATGAAATCAAGAATCTATAAGGCCAATATAAGACAAATAATGATGTATGTGTCAGTAACAAGACCAAACACAGCCAAAACACAAAGAATGCTGGAAACAGCAGAAATGAATGAATACTCAGAAGCAAAATGTAATATACAGGGTATAAACGAGTGGACACTAAATAGAAAAAAGAATGGACTAAGCACATCAGTAGAATGGTGGGCACAAGAGTCATTACAATAGAAAGCGACAAATTGCCAAGCAGCAGAAGAAGTATTGACTGATAGCAGAAGAGACAGAGTGACAATATTCTATTGAGGCCACAACCTGCCAATGAACAAGCAAAATTGTTTATATAAAGAAAGAAATAACAGATTACAGTATAAAAAAAATTAAGCAGTGTTTTCTTTTATATATTTTTTATCTTGTAATATTTTTAACTAATATCACATGTTCAGCCAATCTACTTGAACAATCTGAAAGACTGATAAAATTGGTGATTTGAAAGGTCTAGAGTTGCAACAAGTGAGATATCTCTGGAGTTAATAAACTTTATAAGGTTTAACTGTATGAGTTAAAAAAACAAGCCAAAGAGGCTTGTTTTTGCCTCGATGAAATGGTAGGCATGTAGTTCAAATATTGGTGGTACTTACATTTAAAAAACAAAATATGAATGTGATATAATAATAAAATATGAACAATACTAATATCTCAAACTTTAAAAGTAATGTATTAATAAATATTTATTAAGTACATGAAAATAGTTTGACAATTTTCTGAACAATAAGTTGCAAGATGTAGTGGAAAACAAAAAGGATAACCTGTATTTTGTGATTTGATATAGGATCCAAAATAAAACATGGAGAAATAATGTGTTTAATGAATATTTAAAAATATATTTTTTACATCAGATCAGATAGTGTTTTAAAACATATTAAATAATATTGTACATTTATTAATATGCTCATTATAAATGAACAAAAGCCAATTGATATGAAGTTTAATTGCGAGTAAAAAAAAATTTGAAATTGATAATTGTTTTGAATTACACTCTAATAATTCCAGTTTGAAAAAGAATTATTACTTATTGCACAAGATTGTTCATGTTGAAACAAAAAAATAATATATAATATATACTTTCTTTTTAGTTATTATAAATGCCATGACGAACGTATACTGAGAATTATGCTAAATTAGGTCTAATGAGTCCAACATTTCCTTGGAAAATTTTGGGAAAATCAAGTGATGTAAGCACTTCCTACGTTCAACAGTTTGGAAAAAAAACATTGACGGAAACTTAAAAGTCGGTCCTCTTAGGAACATATTTGATATTTACTTGTATTTTTGATATGCCCATATCATTATACCAAAAAATATACTCATAACATTAAATTTCATATCGCAAATGCATAAAAATGTATTCTTACCTTCGGTAGCCACCCTCTGGGTTCGATAAAGTTTTTCGGTGGAATCTTGAGTTTTTGGTTAAACAAGTGTGTAAAAAACACGTCGGTCCTTCGTCAATCAACAAATTTTAGCACTTTTTTGCTGCACCCTACGAATACCATGCCTATTTCCGTGAATATTATCACGAAAAAGAGACAAGGTCCTTGATACCAGAATAGAAATGCGAAGTGGAATAACTTGACGTTTGACAGTTTAACCACAAGGTTCATGAGTCATAAAAGTCATGCGCTTTCCTTTCTAACGTCTAGTTTATACAGGACCGGCTTAAATCCGTAATTAGAATCATGTAATTCTCTCTTTATACCACTAGCTAATAATAGGTTCTTCACCACCCCCGTATACACTGTATAAGGACCATCCATGAGAATCCTAAGCATCGATCTATAGGGCACTAAAATTCATGATTCATTAGGCTTTTCTGTCACTATCTACTTTTTCTTCCACTAACCACCAGCATTTCTCGCTAAGAATAACTTGTGTGTCGTTTCTATTTATTGGTTTTTCACTTTAAGAGATTTCTTTAGAATAATAAAGTGTTTAGAATAGCAAACATTCCCAAGTAGACTAAAACATTAACCAAAAAGAAGTACCGATTCACTTTTCGTACGGAAGGGTCCGCACAATCTGTTAATTAATATTTTGCTTTTAATATTAAGTGATAAAACACCGATACACTGGAATATCGAATGGACTGACTTAGTTTTTGAGCATAAGACAAACACTATAAGCAGAAAAATACTGATAATCATTTTTTCCTTAAATCAAGAGGAACTTACGTACCTATCAATTTTCAAAAATTGTCTGAGCTTTTCCATCAACAGTTGTCGCACAGAGAAATAGACGAACAATAACACAATTTTAATAAATAACTATCGGGTCTTTAGCTAATTTTAACTCTATATTTTTTTAACTAAATTTTCACGCTTTTAATATCTAATAATATTTTTTTATTGTAACATTATTAATGATAAAAATGTAAAATAAGTATCATGATATTTATTTTATAATATTTTATATTCTGAAAATTAAAAATTTATACTGATTGTTGAAATATGTGTTGCCTATTTACCAGAAGCGCACCAATGAAAAATAGCTAATAAGGTCTGCCAATCACGAATCAGGATTTATCTTTGACATTGACATAACATTGATGACATTATTTGAATTTTTTGTAATTGTTTACAGTTAAAAAAATAAATGTATATATCATAATTTAGTTTATCGCGGTTAAAGTCAATAAAATGCATCGAACGTTAGAAAATAGTTGCACACAAGAAGTTAACATTCTATCAAATCAGACAGTTAGACCCACACAAACATCAAATGGAAAATCTAGAAAGATTACTTCCAGTATGTATTTTTTGGACGAAGAGCCTGCTTATTCAGATTCCGACGATGAAAATAGTTTCATTATGGGACGAAAGAAACCAATATATGGTCAATACATCTATTTAACAAAGCCCATACAGAAGAAGTGTGATGTGGAAATACAGTGCGATATTCTAACAATTGAAAAATCTTTACATGCTTTGGTCACAAAATGTGCAGAATTAGATCCAAGTAAGTGAAACTCGGCATTTACATGTAAGTGTTATCAATTGAATATTCCCAAAGATCAAGTAATAGTTTGATTTGAACTAGGTATATGTCTTTCCAGGATCAGAATATATATTACTTTTTATTATTGAAAATTATCTTTTAGTGTTAAGAAGCCAGGTCGAAGCTTTTTCTAATCGTTAATGGATACATTATCGTTATGATTAGCTCATTATGTGACATTTTTGGGATGTTTACTGATAAATGTTTAAATTTTTGTAATATGAGGTGGGTTAGACCACACAGGCAATTTGTGAAAGATCATGTTTATAGAATTCCAGACGAGAAATGGGTAATAATGGCTCCAAACTTATAAACCAGACACAAAGAGGCAGACCACTAACAATATGGTACTGAGATTGGGTCAGTATGGTACTGACATTAACTCAGACAAAGGCCAAACATAATTAATCAAACATGACCTAGTACTATTAAATTGTCATAAATAGTCTCTAAGTTGTAACATAATTCTAACAAAAATCTTGTTTGTTATTTCTAGATACAGTTGGTAGATATAAAAAACTTGTACTTATCTGTAAAGAATTAGTTAATGATGGATACCTCATAACAAATGATCCTGACCGTAATGATGATAATTCTGATACAGATTTAGATGCAGAAAGGTAAGTGCACTTTTATTGACGTTACGGGGTGTTTTCTAAAGAATCTTTTAGAAGGGGTGTTAAAATTTACATTAACTTTGTCAAGGTGTTTGACTGACTGTCATACAACATACAGCTTTAAAAGTAAGAATTAATTTAAATCCATTAATTACTTGTGCTTGGATTCACAGCTTATTTTTTCTTTCAAAATCAGTCAGATTTCATTAGTGTTATTTCAAGCTTAGCTTACACATTAGATTACTTGTTTTTAACATCTTTAAAAACAGTAAATGTATGCTGACATTTTTCTGTTTTTTTTTGCTGACGCTTCAAAGTAGAGCTAAGTAAGTAAATCTGCTAATGATTTTAACAAATGGCAATATAACAAATAATTTCAGTTGTATACAAGAATACACCAATATGTCACTCTAATAATGCATCTATGTCAACACTGGATGTGCAGATCGGGTTGAGTAAATATATATATTATGTCAACTTAACGAAGTCAAGCTTGTGGTAGGTGGTGTTTACATACTTCCCCAATCACCTCGTGAAGTATACAATTGGCATTGTCAAACTGTGGAAAATGTTGTTCTGCAATACTCAGCATAGGATATCTATGTTTTTGGTGATTACAATTTTCCCAATGCATCATAGGAGAATTATGAGTTTGGTGTAATGGTGCATTATCCTGCAGATGATCCAGCTGTGAATATTGCTCAAGTCTTTGGTTTTTTAAAATTGTATCAGCATAATAATATTCCCAATAATTGTAATGTATTTTTGGATTTAGTTTTTTCTAATGTTAGGGAGCTAAATATCTTAAAAGCAAGTGATCCCCTTGTAGATCCTAGCATCCATCATGTGGGTTATGAATGTTGCTTAAACTCGATGTTAAAGAAACAAATAGAAATAAGTTGGTTTATGATGAGTTGTTTTATGATTTTCGGAATGGTGATTACATTGCGCTTAACAACTTCTTTGCTTCCACAGATGGCAGGTATGTATAGTTAATGATGTTAAAGTTGCTACAAAATTATTCTATGAAATTCTCTCTATAGGAATTGCTTACTTTGTGCCATTGAAGAAAGATAGAACTTCAAATTTTCCCAAGTGGTTCCCTGCTCATCTTAGAAGACTGACTCTGGAGAAAAAATATGCTCACTATATTTATGCTAATAATCGTACTGATGATGACTATATTAGATTTTCCCACCTAAGAGCTGAATGTAAACAACTGTCTGAAATTTGCTTCAGCAACTATATTAAAAGTATAGATACTGGCCTAAGAAATTATCCAAAATCATTTTGGAAGTACATCAATGATAAGCAGTCTAGTCATAACCTACCTAACTTCTTATTTTATCAAGTCCAATCTGCAACAAATGGTCAAGACATAGCTAATTTATTTATGAACTTCTTCCAAACTGTGTATTCACCAAATAACAACAACCTTTACATACCTATCCATCCATTAAATAACAACTTTAGTACAAATATTTGTCCTTCTAAGATAACCATGACTGATATTTTTAATGGCATAAATGAGCTGCCCAATAAGCTTACTGCTGGTCCAGATGGTGTGCCTAATTTTTTATTAAAAAAGTGTGTCTGTACCCTTGTAATACCATTTGTTATATTGTTTAATATATCTCTGGAAACCTCTGTGTTTTCTTCTTCATGGAAAGAAAGTTATGTTGTTCCTATATTTCAAAATGGTCACAAAGACAATATTGAAAATTATCGTAGCATTTGTATACAATCTGCAATCCGTAAGCTCTTCGATAGTCTTATTGCAAAGCAACTTTCTTGGTTATGTAAAGGCTTAATATCTCAATCGCAACATGGTTTTCATAGCAAAAAATCCACTGTAACAAAATTGGTTTACTATCAATCTGATATATTATCTCATATGGAAGACCGTAAATCTGCCACTGAATTATGTTTCTTTTATTCGGGATTTGGGTGTTATTTTCGATGAGAATGTTACTTTCTGTGACCACATAAACTCAATTTCAATAAAGACATCTAAATTTCTAGGTTTCGTTACTAGGAATTGCAAGTATTTCTTCATTAATTCAACCAGATTAGTGTATTGTTGCTTAGTTAGAAGTGCTTACCACATCCACACTACTATTGAAAACCATGATTATTTCCAGTATCGAACAACAATTATATTTACCCTCACTCAAGAACCGTCGTGACATGTCAGGAGCTATATTTATATATAAGATCATACATGGATTTATTGATTGTCCAAATCTGTTAAGCCAGATTAATTTTAATGTTCCCCATCAAGCTCTACGGTACCACAATGTTTTCAATATTCCTTTCCACAGAACAACCTACAGTATTCTCAACCCATTGGATAGATACATGGGGCTATTAAATGATCGCGATTTTGATATTTTCAATATAACTGTGACTCAGTTAAAAAGAGCTCTTGCTTTGTGATATGTATATTAGGATTGTTGAACTTTGTTCTTGTTATACTTTGTTTTTTTTAGTATGTAAGATTTTTAGTCTTATTCTTTTTTAAATTTTTAATATCGATTTTATTTTATATGTAATTTCAAGTTTTGAATCCTAACTGTGATATTGTATATTGTAATTTAAACTGTTAATGGGGTTATCCCGTGTATTAAATAAAAAAAAATAAATAAAAAACACTTTTAATCCACATGCAAATATAAAACATAGGAACATGTGCTCATTTCATACATTTTATTTCTACTGCTATTTTTAACATATTTTTGGTCACAAGCACATGAAAATATGTGTGTACCACTTCTTTATTAAATTCATTTTGAAGTAAATTTGTTCATCAGCTCTTGTAAATGTTGCTGTACATGCATTTCACAATTTTATTTTTGGCTTTAAATTTAGGCTGTTATTTGAGTTCTTCAAGTCAATTCATTAATTCTCAAAGTGCATAAAAAAACCTACATGGAAATCTCTATTATTTATTAAGACTATTATAAATCTATAATTTCTATGTTTTTGGTTATACTGTAAATAAATTATTAATGATGTAGCAAGATTTTTATAACGAGAACAGTTTTTTAAAAATTAAAAGTTTTACATAAATTACATACATTATAACTATTGATTTTGTTTTAGGATAATGCCACAGCATGTGCAAAGTTTGGAAAAATCTGTTCCAAAGAAGAAACCTGATAGTGCCTCCGGTAATTATTTTAAACTATTACTTTTTCTAATGCATGAATTAAACTGCTATAATTCAAAATAAGTAAATTTATTTGACATAGAAAATCTGAATATACAATTTTTACATAAAAGTTGTAACGATAATATTTTGCCTACCTTAGGGATATTATTATAAGGGGTAGAAAATTGGCGACAGAAACTATGGGGGTGGAGATAGGGCAAGCAAAATAAAAGCTACTTGTGCGAACGGCACTCAGGGTTTTTAGGAGAGCTGGGGTCGTGGATAAGTAAATGATAGGGAGGTTGAATTGGGGCAACTACAAAAAGATGAAACAAAAGGTCATGCATCTCTCGGGACAAAAAAACAAAAAGAAACAGGAAACACCTCTAGTACTCTGAAAATCTTGTTTGGACATCTACGTCACACGTCACGGAATAAGACACAATGGCATCTTTCGGCCAAGTAGGATACTAGGCCAGAAGATCCCAGGGTAGTGCCGCATTAACCGTGTTCCGGCTAAAACCTTAACCACCGTTCCAAAGAGGTGGTCTTGCCACTCAATGAACAACTAAAATAAAAAAACTAAAAATTTATAAATAACCATACCTATTACCGTAAATCAGAAAATGTTTCAGACGTTAGGCCATAAACTAATAAATAATATTGACCATCTCTGTCCTCCTGCTCCTTTTTCTTCATCACCCCAGAAATCAGACAGTGTACTTCTTTCCATTCTTTCTCTCCTCTCAACATTATGTTTACAATGTTTCTTTCATCCAGCCCGAAACCCACTCGCCTCTCGAAATCTCCCTCTCATTTGCCCATCTCTAGCAGTTAAAAATGTGGCCGGGAGCCGGTACCCCACAAACAGTACAGTCTGCCGAAGCAGATTCTACTTATGAAGGTGCCAAAACTACCATGTCCGGTTAGAAACTGCATCAGGAAGGAGTCTAGTTTCCTGAACTTACATTCCCACCACAGTCTCAGATCGGGAATAAGCTCCTTCATCCACCTTGCCTTTCCGCTATCATTCGCCGATTCTCTCTGCCACTCTACTATCGTTCTTTCTCTCTCATTTTCATCTATATTTACATCCATCCTCCTCGCATACACCCTCGCTCTCTCTTTGCACAACAAAACGATCGGTATTACCGCTCCAATGACATATAGAGTCTCATTTGAAACTGTCCTATATGCGCTAGATACCCTGAGGAGCATTTGCCTTTGCGAAGTCTCCATCAACTTAGCGTATTTCGCAGTATTTAGTACGCTACACCACACGAGGGCAACGTAAGTTACCACCGACTGGAAAACTTCATTTAGCACCTTTCTTTTCGTGCTCCCTGGGCCTCCAATGTTTGGCATCAGCCGTATCAACGCCTCCAGATTTCGGTTCGCCTTCTATACCGTCTTTTAGATGTGTACTCCCCGACAACCAGACTCCCAAATACTTAATCGATTTAACCGGTGCAACCTCCACACCTTCCACTATAATGCGAAGAGAGGATTTTCCCGGCTCCCTTTGAGAACTAACACCTCAGTTTTCTGAGGCGCTAGCTGTAGATCGTTCTCTCTGATCCACCTACTAATGCGACGCAGGGCTGTGTTAACCGCATTAGCCATGTCCGTTTTCTGACTCGCCTTCGCAACCAGTGCGAGATCATCGGCATAAAGTACAAGAGTGCAGCCCCTTGCATCTGTAGCAGCAACACCCCGTCGTACAGGACATTCCACATTATGGGACCTAGTACTGAACCCTGCGGAACTCCCTGCGACAAACTGATGCTGGTGTATTTTTCTCTTATGGACCTGTCAGTAAAGTATCTGTCAATTACGTTGACCAGGTACTCACTAACGCCCACTTCCCATTCAATTTCTAGGATTTGCTTTATTTTTTCAAAGCCTCTTTCCCCTGAGTTCAAGAACTTTGATCATTTCTATCTCTCTTTCTCTCTCTTTAATTTTTTTAGGGAAGAACTCTTTAAAGCCCACCTGTGTGAACACGCTTGCAGTCTCCTTCATCGTGACCTCATCACCGTTTTTTTTACTAGCTTTTTTCTTTTCTCGACGCTACCGAGCGCGACTTGTCTGAAAGTTCCCTCGATGTCTTCGGTGACTCTCTTAAGTTTTTTTATTTAATTTTTAATCTGAACCTTCGTGTTTGTATGGTTGGACATTAGTTTCAATAAATTATTTGTAACGCAGATAAGTTTCTCCATTGGTCTTACCATAGGCGTTATGTCAATGCTCTCCTCCACCTCCGTAGGTCTTTTCTCTCCAAGTGAGAAGCTCCTATTGCAAGGTTGCCTTCCTTGGAAGATCCTTCTTGGTCAGGTCCCGACCCATGACTGGAGACCTTCCAACAAATCCTCTTTTTCCAAAGATCATAGTATTCTCCTTCATCTTTTCCTCTTCACTAAGGACTTTCCCTATGTTCCCTTCACTGCTATTGTACACTATATCATCGCATTCATAACTTGTTCCAATTTGCTCCATAGTTTCTTTGTTTTTGTTTGGTTTTTTTGCTTGATTAAGTACTTGTCCATATAATTCTCACGAATAGGGACGAAATTGTATTGTTCAGCGAGGCAGTGCGCTCTTACTCACGCTAGTTACGTCTCCTTAATTTGTGACACTGTTGATCTCAGACATATATACCGTTAGAGAAAGATAATACACATTATTAAATCATAAACGCTGATAACGTTACATTTTCCCTAGAACCCAAATATTTTCCAAAACATTTGAACAGATTAAAAATAGACCAGTCAAATTATTGAAATGTATTTCATATAAAATGAGATCTCTTCTATCTGAACATATATTCTTTGAACAGTCAAAAGTAGAAGGTTTTTGTCAATGTTTAAGAGAATAAAGAGATTCTGCAATTTACTAATTTATTTATTAAACAATAATTAAATTATCTCCTTTTGTCAGTATTTAAACAACGAAAATAGTTTTTTCTGGAGGGTAAACATCAAATTTTACTTGCCTATAAAAAAACCATTAAAACATGAGTTGCTCGTTACAATTGTGGTACTTTACTGTAAAATACAGCATTTTGAACTAGAAATATACCAGAACAATTTTTTTTTTAATTATCCAACAATATAACATCCGAACCACAAGGTGAGTTTTGCTATTGTGTTTCATATAGTTCCTGGACATTCTACCAAACATTTTACACAGTAGAAATTGATATTGATAAAGTAACAGACTTATGAAGTGTTTTAGTGTATCATTTTTTTTAGAAAATCTTACACGAAAATCTCTCTTAGAGTTATTTGGTCAAGATAGATCCGACATAGCTACACAATGCCGCAATAGAGATATATATGTTCAAAATCAGGAATTATGCTTATCAGAACAGGAAAATCATAATCCAAATATAAATAGTCATGGTATGTTGAGTTATCTGTACTAGAATATAAACTGCGAGACTTATAACTAAATATTAAATAAACAATAACACATTAATTATATAACTGTATAAATCAACTAAGTTACCTATCTACATCAACACTTATCACTATTTTTTTGATTTTTTTTTATTCAGAGAAATAAGTAATTAAATTAAATTAAATTTATAAGTTGTTTATAGTTTATTACCCCATGAAACAAAGCCGAAAAATCACTTGAAAAATCGAAAAATTACTCTGCACTATTTTTGATTTGGAATATTTGGGAGAAGTCAATAGAAAGAGTGTTTTATCTCGTGATTATCGAAGTGTTTACTGCGTCATGACATTTAAGCAAAAAAAAGGGACTTTTTCATTCATTTCAATATTGTGAAAAAACTACATATTCTAGATAAAATTTTTTAATTTATCTTTTTATATGCAGCCGATAAAAACGACAGAACATCCGTCAATAAGAAGTTAAGCAGCAATGATTCTGCGTTCGACGAAGAGACTGAATCTAACCGTATTAATAAGGATGATTTTAGACGGTTTGTACTTATTACTTAATAATTTAGTATATTATTATTATCTAATTCAGAAAAATAAACACATATTTAGTTAATATAAGCTTAAATATATAAATAAGTGTTCTGTTTTTATCTTTATTCTTCTTTTTTCCTTTGTTACACCTACTATGATAGTCTTAGGTAATTATCAGAAAGACATTTATTTATTTCAAGTCTATAAACATGATATCGTCTAACAGAGGAAGTTCTTTGTTAAATGAAACTGAAAGTGTGCAATCAGTACCTTAATAGATTTTAAACAAATGTTATTCAAAATAATTCTCCTCCATTCTCTCCGGTCTTTGGACTTAGCTCTCTGTTTGTCTTAATTTCTTTGGGTACTCTTTCGTCATTCATTTTTTCCAATTGTCCTAACTGTCTCGTTGCTTTGGCTATTTTTCTGTCGAAACTTGAACTTTATATCGAAGCATCGGAAATCGTTGTTTTAGTTGTCCAGAACATCTTTCAATTATTACACTCTCCTTTGTAAATAATTTGTTATAAGCAAGCTCTGCAGGAATATTTAGATTTCTAACGGGCACTATACACCATGTTCACCATGGTGCTACGTAACCTTCATCTCTTAAAATTATTGCATTTGACCTCTTAAACTCATTTTTAGTAATGTTACAAATTTGTGAGTTGCTCCATATTCGTGAATCATAGACAGATCCTGGTCATGATATGTCTACGCTTGTAAACCACTCATATGCAATGCAAGTGCTTGAATGTTGATACTGTGATATCCTTTGTGATTGATATATTCATCACCATCAAGAGGTGTTTTTTTTATTTTTATGTGACTGCAATCGATCACACCCACGACATACGGAAAAGTGTGCTTTGATTGCCATCGTTCTTTAGCTTCTATTATATCCGCCGGAGTGTGAGGAAATTTTATCCAACGTGCGTATATTTGTATCAGCAACTTCCTTAACAACCTTAGACACAGTAGTTTGATAAACACCAATATTTTCTCCCACTCAAAGTCTTCACACAAAAAGTTTTTGAAAGCTACTTTTTAACATTTTTTTTTTATTAAATCGATATTACTTCGATGTTTACGACTTCGACTTTATTAAATCGATGGCTTTAAAGTTACTATCACATGTAGTTCTTCTTGGTTTATCATATTTTTTTTACACACAAATTAAACATGAACTCAGCCATAGCTCTCCCATGATCAAATTGAAATCTGGTAACTATTAGACTCCAAATTTATTGAGTAGATTCTCATCCTAAAGAGCATAAAGATATTTTTATTCATATTAAAAATGAGAATATTCTCATATTCTCATAACAAACTGTACATAAGACTAATTACTCAAGCTGAGTATCTGCTTCTGTTTTTATTCATACCACGTGGAGTATTTACTGCAAAATTTGGTGTATAAACTAAATTCTCAATTTTATTTATACAACATTATGTGTCGACATTGATTAGCTAGCATCAATTTCTTGTAGCTATACTGATTTATTTAATAATGTTTTAGATCAAATAGTAACTGTGAAAATGTATCTAATACAGATGAGGAAGATATTCCAACGAAAAATATGGAACGAATTAATAGTAAGTTTGCAGCACTAGACTGATAACTTTTCAACTCTGATAACATTACGTCAACTTTTATCATCTGCTAAGTATGATTCTGAAACTACTTATTTTCTTGTGTCATTTCTATTAAATACAATGCATAACAAAAAAATAGGATGTGGCCTCTAGGCACAGAATAATAAACAATCAGAATGTCCACTCAGCTTGAAAAAATAAGTGCGCACATCTCGTTCGCGCAGACGAATTCAGCCATGTTTTAAACGGAACCAGTGCTGTTCAGTGACATTTTATCTGGTGTGCATAGAAAAATTAACCCGGTTTAATTTATTTAAGGCAACTATAGACATAATATGCACTATTTTATTTATTAATTATTAATTTAAATTATTAATCTTTAAAGGTCATGACCTATGGGGCGGAAACTATGACTTTAACCAAGACCACGGCTTCGAAACTGAGAGTGGCACAGAGACGAATGAAACGGTCTATGCTGGGCTGGGAGTGACGTTGAGGGACCGAATAAGAAACGAAGATCTGCGAAGAATTACGAGTATTACTGATGTTGTGGAACGCATAGCGGAACTAAAATGGAACTGGGCAGGCCATATAGCGATAATGCACGATTCACGATGGACGAGCAAAATTACAAATTGGAGGCCAAGAGCAGACAAACGCAGTAGAGGAAGACCACCTACACGTTGGGCCGACGACATCAGGCGTATCACTAAAAATTGCCAACAAAGAGCACAAAATCGTGAGGAATGGAGGAGTTTAAGGGAGGCCTATGTCCAGCAGTGGACGTGATAAATAGAGGCTGGATGATGAATCTCTAAAAAATTGAAATTACAGTTTTGTGGTAGCCTGTCACAAATTTCTCAATTCGACTCTATGTGTCCGCTTAAAATATTTCGATCGCGTGCTGACAAACTTCAAAGGCGGCATCTAAGAGGCATTCTGATTGTTATTTATTCTGTGCTCTAGGAGTGAGCGAGAAGTGGAAGCGTACATTTTATCATTTCAGTCGATTTTATTGTTTTTTTACTTGTGCGGGATCCATCGCTCCGTTCCTAGCCCGCTATAAGAAAGTTATGCTTCCAAAAATTATGTTGAGATGATATAAAAATGTATCAGTTCGCAACTGTTTACATGTTTAAATGATTCAGTTTGCAACTGTTTACATCTGGTTGTTATTTGGTCGTGAGTCATTAACTAACTAAAATTGAAATCCTGAAACTAAAAAATTCACTTTGCGGGTTTTTGCATTCTTCTTCTTCTTCTCCTTCTTCTTCTTCTTCCTCTTCTTCGCTTGCCATATAAGAATTCTCCGACGTTGGTGATCACAATTGCGAAGGCTTCTCGATCTTCTGTAATATGGTATAATTGTCCCGCATTTGATATCCGAATCCATTCACGAATGATTTTTAACCAAGAAACTTGTTTCTTCCTACACCTTTACTGCCCTCTATTTTGCCTTTAAGTTTGCCAGTTCTCTATCTTTGTTGACGTTCCTTAATACTTCTTCATTAGTTTTCCTTGCTCTCCAAGGTATCTTCAGCATTCCTCTATGAACCCACATTTCCAATGATTCAATTTCCACTCTTCTGCACCATACAAAATCATGGACAAACATAGCACTTAACCATTCTTTTTCTTAGTTCTAAACTGAGATGATTATTGCATAGAAATGATTTCATTTCCATAAAAGTAGTTTTAGTCATTGCTATTTTACGTTTTATTTCTATGTCTGGATCTACACTTGAGTGCAAAAAAATCGACTAAAAATTATTTTGCGCAAGTACGTCTCCTGTTTCCATCAAAAAAGGTGTAAATTTAAAAATATTTAGTGTACAATTATTAACCTCAGTTTGAAAAAAGTTTTGATTTTTGGTAAATCTGGTGACGTATTACAAATACATAATGCAACACGTAGAGAGGGGGTCATCAATTGACCCATTGCAATCGACACGCACCCACTTAACAAATTTGCTTAACATCGTAAGCATAAATTTCCATAGCAACCCACTAATACATCAGTCAATTAAGTTTGCAACTTCATAACAAATGGATACCACATCCGTCAAAGCAGCTCAAGCAGTAGCATTATCAAGAAAAGACCTGAGCCAGAGGGCCGTGGCAAATCGACTAAATTTAAGCCAATCTGCTGTGTCCCGAGTGTATCGTCGGTACCAAGATACTGGTGATTATGTCCGCCGACAAGGAGGAGGTCGTAAACGAATAACAACAGAGAGAAATGATCGATTTCTTGTATCTAAATCTCTGAGAAATCGACATTTGACTGGTGCTAATCTCAAAGAAGAGCTTAGAGAGGTCCGAGGTGTGGTTACCAGAGTTTGGACAGTCAGAAGGAGACTGAAAGCAGCCAACCTGACACCAACAAGGGCAGCTACTGGTCCCAAGCTAATTGCAGCACAGAAGGAAAGACGACTAGAATTTGCTCGCGAACATCTCGATTGGGACGACTATCAATGGAGTCAGGTATTATTCTCCGGCGAAAGTAGGATCTGCCTACATGGCAACTACAAGAGGCGTCGAGTCTATAGAAAGCCAGGGGAACGATTTGCCCAATGTTGTATACGAGAAATTGGAGGCGGTTGTTGTATGTTTTGGGCAGGTATTTCCATGGATGGAAAAACCGAGCTGGTCTTCGTGCCTGGTGAGGGACGTGGAGGAGGTTTAACGGCGGATCGTTACATCAGAAATATTTTGGAGGAACATGTGGTTCCATACGCGGGATTTATTTGTAATGCCTTTATTTTATTGCATGATAATGCACGATGTCATACCGTACGAGTCACCACCAGCTATTTGACAGATCGGTATACCTACAATAAATTGGCCTGCGTTGAGTCCGGACATAAATCCAATAGAGTATGTTTAGGATGAGCTTAAACGAAGGGTCCGGAGCAGAAATCATGCACCAAGGAGCATAATGGAATTGAGAGCTGCGCTTAATGTTGAATGGGATGCAATGAAAAAGTCATCTGATGCATGCGAAATCGATTGGAAAGTGTAATTAGGAATAGGGGTGGTAATATCAGATACTGAAAAACAAAAAAATTCATTTTGTAATGATGATTTCTCTGTTCATTACGTCTTTCTTGGGATAGTTCCAATGATGAATATTTGAGAAACTCTGTTCATATTGCATATTGTTTTTATAATGTGTCTTCCAAATAATAAAATAGCAGTTTTTGTAAGTTCAATAATAAAGTTACTGTTTGCACATTACATCTTTTTATTTTTATACTTCTTACATTAAAACAGAAGGTGTAATCTCAAATATTGCTTTTGAGTCCATTGTTTTGCACTCAAGTGTAGTTTTTCCGTTATCACAGTTCCCAAATGTCATTTTGTGAACTTTCTCAACTTGGACTCCGTTTAATTGAAGCTTTGCATCGGGATGTGGGTCACGACTAAACACTAAAAATTTGGTTTTGTTTGAGTTTATTTTAATGCCCATTTCCTCTCCTACCTCGTGAATACGATCAAGCATAACTTGGAGACCTTCAATATTATCTGACAGAAACACTGTATCGTCTGCATATCTAATCACATTAAGTAGTTCCCCGTTGATTTTTATTCCATATGGTTGTCTCTCAATTGTCTTTTTAAATAACTTTTCCGAGTAAACATTGAACAATGTTGGCGGCAAGATGCAACCTTGTCTGACTCCTTGTTGTATGGAGATTTCATCGGTGTAGTTATCTCCAATTTTTATGGTAGCAGGTTGATTCCAGTACAAATTTTTAATGACACGAATATCCTTGTCATCTATTCTGATATTTTTCAGTGTTCACATTAATCATGCTGTACTTTATCGAATGCCTTTTCAAAGTCCACGAAACATGCAAATACATCTTTTCTTTGGTCACGACATTTTTGTAATACGATGTTAAGCGCAAAAAGTGCCTCATTGGTTACGATAGCATTTCTAAAACCAAATTGAGTATCTTCGAGATCTTCGCATTTTCGTCTAATTCTGTTGTGAAGTATTCTTAGGAAAATTTGAGTTTGGCTCATTAGGCTAATTGATCGATATTCTGAGCATTTTCTCGCATTGTGATTTTTAGGTATTGCGACAAATATGGATTTGAACCAATCTGTGAGAATCACTCCGGTGTTATATATTGAATTAAAAAGTCTTACTACTACTTTTATGTTATCATCTTCTATGAGTTTCAGCAACTCAGTTGGTGTATCATCTGGACCACAAGCTTTTCTAATTTTAGCATTATTTATAACGTGTTCTACCTCGCATTTCATAATTTCTGGGCCGTCAGTACAGTTGTGGTAGAATTCGGCAATTTATTTATTTAGCGTATGGCAATTTGATACACAACATTATCACATATATATGTTACAATATAACATCTAATGTATTAATATATTCAATCGACGCTGGTGTTGCAGAGGCGAAGTCTAGAGGATCTCCATAATACTTCCTCCGAGGGCATTCGGCAATCATATGCTGAATGGTCTGTTTCTCGGCGCCGCAGTCGCACTCAGCAGAGGTTCTCATCCTCCATTTATAAAGGGAATCTGCGCAGACTCCATGACCCGTTCTTATCCTGTTAAGAGTTGACCATGATTTTCGGGGGAGGTCAAAACCTGGTGGAGTTTCTGTGATGCATTGTGTGTTTCTCATTATTAGGTTCGGTCTGTCGCTCTGCATGTTCTTCCACTGGGAGTTCATTTGAAAATTGTTGGAACTCAATTTTATTGCATCTCTAGTCGGAGGTTTTCTGGAGCGTAATCGATGTGAATTAGCGTCGGCGACATATGTGTGTATAGGTAATTGCGGGTTGTTAAGCAGCTTTTGGAATTCTCTAAGCAGAGCATGCTGACGACGAAGATTAGGTGGAGGTATATGGCTCAGTAGTGGAAGCCACTCCACAGGTGTAGACTTGATCGTTCCAGATATGAAACGCATGTTGACATTGAGCTGGGTATCTATAATTTTTGTGTGAACGCTATTCAGCCAAACAGGAGAGCAG